GAGGGTAACGTCGAAGTAGGGACAGACGGCGTGAAGCACGGGGAAGACGAGGTCGTGTGGTGGAGGAGAGGGTCCAGTGACGTAGAAGCGACCGCCAAGGCAGTGTCATGTCTACCGCGGGCGGGGCGGCCGAAAGCCCCAAGTGCGCAATCACACCGCTTAGCACCAGACGCCGAGCCGACTCCACACGCTCCGTTAATGGCGCCGCACACCCAAACGACCCCAGCAACGCGTCCCGCAACAACTCCGTCACCGGCACCCGACGACTCGGGTGGAACGCGCTTATTCGCAACAACAGCGACAGACACGACGGCCGGAACAACTCCAGAGGATCCTCTGCCGGCTCCCGCGTTTCCAACAACTCACGCCGCAACCGCTTCAACACACCACTCGCACCCGACCCCGTCCGGCAACAGTCCAACAACGCAGACAAACCCGCATCCGATAACGAGTCGTGCCCCGGGTCTGACGACAACGAATATAACTACAGAAGTACCATCTGGAACAAACACCAAGGGGTAGAGGGTGGGAGGGAGGGGCACCAATGAGCAAGGGGGAGGAGTTGTAAGGGTTGTAGACCCCCGGATTGTAGGCCTCCGGGTTGTGGACCCCGATACTGTTCCACGTTTGGGAGTTGGCTGGCTTGCGGAAGGTAGTAGCCTTGGGGGTCCTGACCCCTTCGCGGGTCGGGTTGTGCTCGTGCTGAACCGGTGTCTGTGGGAAGGTAGCGGCGGGAGTAGGGGTCCTGGAGGGCGGCGGCCTGGCGGTCTATGTTCTGGTTCGCTGGGTGATTTGGAGGCGGCGTGGTCAGCGATGTCTTCGAAGTCTTCGCTGAGTTCTTGTTCCTCGTTGTCAAAGCTGTAGCACTCATAGAAGTCCCTTTCAAGTGTGTCATGTTCCCAAAAGGAAGAAGTAGTTTTTACCTTCAACCCCTTACTTAACCTTTGGCTCCCCACCATTGGTACGTGTCCTGCGCTGCTGGCACGCCACTGGCCACGACATGACACTGGTTGACGAGAAAGGCGGGAGTGATACGATGAAAATCATATTTCGGTTTGTCCTGCTTCGCCGTCCGTTCGCAAGAAGCCTGAATAAACTTCGCGTATCCTGACCACATTCTACTTCGCCATGTGACGGTTTATGAGATCGATAAGTTTTACAGAGTGGGAGTACACGATGGAAGGAGACTAAACCCAAACGCGACCTCAACTGCATGCACTCTGGACGTGGTGGTAATTGTGTGCTGAGCGACAACGGCCTATTTACCCACTTCAGAAAATTTCGAATGAAGGGTTTGACTGCGAGTGTTGATGTGGGAACAAGTGCGTTGTTGTCAAGTGCCATATTGACGTGTGAGGTGGATGGTGAACCAGTGGATATGGTGAAGGCCTTGGCGTCTTTGTCACCTTGTAACAGAAGGACCAAATTGATGGTAAAAGGCTTCAAGCTTCTAGAACAAGTCCCGGACCTCGTAATCGGAAACCCCGACGTCGAGCATGTGGAGCTGTCAACAGAAAAGCTGGAGGCGTTGGAGGCGGATGTTCTAAAAAACAGTAGTTTGTGTCATGAAATTCTCTCTGCGGTTGCTCGCTCTCTGCATGCCATCGGCCAAGTGGCTCAAATACACCCGGAGACATGTGGTGTTTCGAAGGAACTGGGGAATAGTATCCGCAGGTGGGTCCATTACCATGGGCGATGGGACGAGCACATTACGTTTCCGCCAACGAAGGCCACTAGAATTGAAGATCTGAAGTTCTTTCTAGGACTTCTGATACGTCATCCAGGAAAACAAGTGATGCACGTGGCTGTACCAATGATGCAACAATGCAACCCGGAGGCGGTCTTGCCTAGCGCGTGGCAAATAGCTAGGGACCGCATTGATGAACAGGCTTTCAGGAGCGGCACAAACATGAGTGTTGCCTCAGCGACGACCATAGATGACTACAAACAGAGAATGGGAGACTTGGCCGTTCGCTTTAGGGGGGACCGAAGCATTCCCCTCAAGAAAGAGACCTCTGGCGCTTCTGGGTCAGGAGAAGAGGAGTGGCCAATATCCGTTCCTGCCTGGTCGGGGCAATCCGGTGTGAATACAAAAAACGATCACCACCCGCCTGAGTAGAGGCGATCAAGGGTTGGGAGGTGTCATTTTTATACAGACAAAAGGTGCGCCAACAGGGGATAGGGGGAGGGGCTGTGTTACCGCGCCTCAAGTACCGAGAAGCCCGCCGCTAGACCCGCCGCAGGAGCCAGACTCGCCCAGACATCCGGACAACAACAGTGTGTGTGTGTCTGGCGCACGCGAACCAAGATGATCGGTCGGATGTGCGAAGAAGTGAGATCCGCTGTACGCCAGATGTAGGGTGGAAGGAAGGTGATTTTCTCTCAATGATGTGTCGTCGACTCATGAGATGCCAGAAGAGGGGTGCTATCGGACTGGGAACGAATTGAGGGCTCTCGAAGAGGAGAATGACCATATTGTCAATGTACGTCGGGAGCCGATGTTCACGTCGTCGAACCCACGCGAGAAGTCCGCGAAGGAAGTGCCAGTCCCCGCTGTGGAGTGAACATCCTCCCTGGTTCTTGACGTTGTTGCCGAATGTTCGGGGGTCACTGGTGACATAACGGCCGAGAATTATTCAGGCCCATATTCAGAGCGGAACATTTCCAATGCGGTGTTTGAGTGCTGAAGCTTCTGTGGAGAAGAGCGTGTTGTTGGCGAGTGCCATATTGACATGTGATGTGAATGGTCGGCCGGTGGATATGGTGAAGGCCTTTAAGTCGCTTGAACCGTGGGACACAGTAAGCACGGTGATGGTTTACGGTTTCAACCTTCTCGACCAAGTCCCGGACTTGGTAGTTGGGTTGCCGGGCGTGGAGCATGTTGACCTGTCCACTGAGGAGCTGAAGGAACTGCACGAGGAGATTAGGACCAACACGCAGTTGCGTGGAGGTATCCTGAAGACGGAGAGTGAATGCTTGCACGCGATTGCCCAAGTGTGTCAAAGGCACCCAACGACATGTGGAGCTTCGGCGGAGATCGGGCAGGCAATCAGTAAGTGGGTAGAAGGTATTCGGACCCTGGGGAAAACAGGGTGCTGTACATACCCTGAAACGGACGCCACTAAAATTGAAGACCTGGAATTCATGCTTATAGCTCTCTTCCGATTCTTGGGAAAAGATGTTCATACGCACGTCACTGTACCATCACTACAGCAGTGCAACCCAAACGCGGCCATACCTGGTGCGTGGGAATGTGCAAGGTTCGACTTGGATGCTCGTGTGTACGCACCCACTATGACGAAGATTTACGCTACGGCGCTGAGCCAAATCGAGTACGATGAGAGGATGGGAAAACTGGCTGTGCCCATTAAGCCTGACCACCATTATACTTTTTGTTGACCAAAGAAGTGTCGGCGTCCACCACGAGGACAGCACAGTCCCACCACCTCGATGGTCTGCCGTAGCCGTGTCTCGTCACTTGTCGTGTGCGCGTCGTGTCTACGGGCCGTAAATTTTTAGGGTAAAGGGGGGACGCAAAACAACAGTAAACCATGGTCGAGTCTACCACCCACGAGCACGACGGCGGCCTGAGTTCAGCCACGGAGGACCTGCGCGGTTCTGCTGACGACAGAACACCTCGATGTGCGAGGACACAGTGTAGCTCTTTATACACAAACTTATTCTTTTCTTGGGCGGCTGGAGTCTTCCATGCCCGACCGAACTCGAGCACTTCGTTCTGAACTTAAAAAATGGTGTGGTGTTAAATAAGAAGTGTTCCCAAGTCACCTGATGCTTGATTGGTGATTTCCGAGATCGGCAAGGGGTTGGAACCGACAGGCGCGAACATGGGCTGAATTCAGGAGCATGCTAAAGAGAACCTTTTTTAAGGTTTTCGGTCAAGCTGATGACACGTGTGAGTCCTGCGGGGAAAGAGGATACACGGAAACGGCCTTCATACGGACAAAACTACGGGGGTCCATGAAGGCTTTGGACGCGGAACTGAAGGCCACTCGGACCGGTTTCAACCTTGGGTTCAAGACGAAGTTGACGGATCGGGACCGGATGGTTACAACTACTTCAACAAGCGACTTCAGCCTCCAAACCGGACAACAGAGGTAGAAATGGTGCCGGAATCTGGAAGGTCCTTTGTGGGAATGGCCGCGACTAGAACGGGCCGAGTGCAGACCATTCGTGGTGGAATAGGTCGTCTGAGCGGAGGTTGGCTTGATTTCCGAACAGATTGTGGACGACTTCGCCGAATGCGAGGGTCATCGCAAACAGTCCGCAAAGGATGACTGCATCGCAAAGCCTACTGCCAACAATGAGCAACACTTCGAAGACTGGGTCGACGAGGTGGTAGGCTTAGTCAATCGCGCGGGCCACAAAATGGAGAAGAGATTATGATAGAGGTGCTTTGGACGCAAATACCTACCTACTGCGAAGCGACAGCGCCCCGCAAGGTCCCGGCATACCCGTGGAACAGTTGATTTGGGACATAGCGCGTCTTCTCTTTCCGACGTCGGCCTATGCCATGGAGGCGAAGGTCGCGGCGCT